GGAAATGAGGGTCCCCTGCCCAGGCCTGACGCCTCTGACAGAGGCGTCAGGCCTGGGCAAGGGGCCGATCCTGCGATTGGAGATTGATGGGGGTCAACGCCTGAGGGCTCCCAGTATGTGAGAGGGGGCAGGCTGGGCTGAGGGACACTCCCCCCCACCCCCACCCAGTGCACGAATTTCGTGCACCAGGCCCTTAGTCTATTATGAAGAGTTAAAACTCCATGGCAGTGCATTCAAGCTAAACCTATGCATTTCTAATTGTTAATTGCTAATTGTGAATATAATAGTTTTAGTTTTGTGTGTATTGAGGAAAGCTGGTTTAATAAATTGTTTTGGAAAAGATATTTTAAAAATATAGACACATGAAACACTCAGTTGCTAGTTTATGGAAGGCCCTTTTAACCTTATAGCTCCTCTGACTCTGATTGGGTGAGGCTTTTGGGACTTGTACCCTGTGATTTTCATGGAAGCTCTTAGGCCTGGCTGTTTGTAAAATAGAGGGTATTCTGTTCTGCTGTTTCCTTATCTGACTGCAAGCAATAATGAGATAAAGCCAGTTGCGTTTCCTATCAGGAGAGTAGCCAATCCAGTTTTCTCAGTCCAGCCTCTTAAAATTAAATGAGAATTGTGAATATGTACATACAGAATATATAATTATTTTTATACTATATAGATCAGTGGTTCTCAACCTGTGGGTCGCAACCCTTTTGGGGGTCTAACGACCCCTTTCACAAGGGTCGCCTAACACCATCGGAAAACACATATATAATTACATATTGTTCTTGTGATTAATCACTATGCTTTAATTATGTTCAATTTGTAACAATGAAATTGGGGGTCACAACAACATGAGGAACTGTGTTAAAGGGTCGCGACATTAGGAAGGTTGAGAACCACTGATACAGATTAATGTGAAGATACATGAGAAATTCAAATTATCAAAGTTAAACGACTATCAGAATTCAGGACGCCCATAGTAGCTCTTGGATAAAATATAGGTCCTATAAAAGATAATTTACTTTCTTCATCATTAGTGGTGAGACATGCTATAGATATAGACTACCATTTTTGCACAAATAACATAAGTTTATTAAAAAATTCATATATCATTCAGGTGATATATGAGCCTTAAGTGTATGGACAACACAATTAAAGGTTGCAAGTTGTCAAGAGACCAAAAATACACACCTAAGTATTTTGAGAAAAAAATTTTCAACAAATTAAAATTTTAACCTGTAAATTTGAAATAACAGAATATGGGACATCATATCCACAAGGAGAAAAACTATGGAGAGTTACAAGAATAAGGATACCTGGAATCTAATGTTAGCTTTATGCTCTTGGCCTTAGTTTTCACATGTAAAATAATGATAATAGATTAAATGTTCTTTCAGCCTGAAAATTTTAATTCTTAAGGCATTTACAAATGGGTATGACAAATGAAATTAGTCTATAATAAAATAGTTATACTTATTTTGCTCTTAATTATTTAAGCTACAATTATTTAGGGTACCAATGAATATATATTAGAAAGACAGAAACTACTGTTTCAAAAATCAGATTTTTTTTGTCTTTTGCATCTTTTGTATATATATTTAAAAATACATTCTCTTCAACATGGTATATATTCTCAAATTTTAGGACACATACAAATGATAAGAAGATAATGTATTGATAGATCACCCTTCTCAGTACAATAGTACTGTAACTCACATTGCTTGGACATTCCTATGACAGTAAAATGCTTATTTTATCATAGTTAAGTCTTCTTATGAAAGATATTTGAGGTATAATTATTATGGTTTATAAAGTAGATAATACATGGCTAGAATGTCCTACCTAAATGTTTAAAACAGTAAATAGACTTTTTTTCTTTTTGCTTTTGAACATTTCTATAGGTCAAAAATATGTTGTAAATAAAGGATGTTTGTTCCACAAAATGGTTTATAGAAGTAATGCAATGTTAATGCATAAAACAGAATGTTGGCTAGAAAAATGATGGAGACAGTTTTTGTTATAGAGCTTACAAAATTGCTCATTATATGGAAGAATTGTTTTTCATTGGTCTAGGTCAGGGGTCCTCAAACTTTTTAAACAGGGGGCCAGTTCACTGTACCTCAGACTGTTGGAGGGCCGGACTATAGTTTAAAAAAAAACTATGAACAAATTCCTGTGCACACTGCACATATCTTATTTTGAAGTAAAAAAACAAAACGGGAACCCATACAATATTTGTATTTGCAGGTGGCCCGCGGGCTGTAGTTTGAGGACCCCTGGTCTAGGTATTCATATACAAAAGAGATCCTTGCATTATAGTGATTGCCTATTTTAGAAATTACTCCTTCATTTATCAAGATGTCAGAGTAGATGGCTTAAGCAGTCCTTTTTGAATTTATAACTATAAAACTGAAGCATAAACAGTTAATGGAAAATTTTTTTAAAAACACAATCTATTGAATTACTAGCTACAAGATAGCTAATAATTCTAGAATCTATCCTATATAATAAAAGGATAATAAGCAAATAATAAGCAAATCGACCGAATGGCAGAGCAACTGGTTGCTATGGTGCACACTGACCACCAGGGGGCAGACGCTCAATGCAGGAGCTGCCCCCCTGGTGGTCAGTGCGCTCCCACAGGGGGAGCGCCACTTAGCCAGAAGCCGGGCTCACGGCTGGCAAGCGCAGCAGCGGTGGTGAGAACCTCTCTCGCCTCCATGGCAGCGTTAAGGATGTCCAACTGACAGCCTTAAGGATATCCCATGGTGAGTGGGCCTAAGCCATCAGTTAGACATCCCCAGAGGGCTCCTGGACTGCGAGAGGATGCAGGCCAGGCTGAGGGTTACCCCCTTCCCCCACATGCACTGATTTCGTGCACCGGGACTCTAGTATGTATATAAAAGGCTAATATGCAAAGTGTCCCCTCAGGAGTTCGACCGGGAGAGCAGAAGTTTGATTGCTCGTTATGACGTGCACTGATCACCAGAGGGTGGCATGGAACAAAGGAAGGCCCTGGCTGGCAGCCGGAAGGCCCTGATTGGTCCTGATCGCTGACAGGCCTAGGAATCCTACCCATGCATGAATTTCGTGCACCAGGCCTCTAGTATATATAAAAGCCTAAGCAACCAAACGACCAGTTGATCGGTCACTTTGACACACACTGACCACCAGGGGACAGACGCTCAACTCACATGATTGGGCTCCCTCCTGTCTGGATCAGGCCTGCAGGGATCAGGCTGAAACTGGCTATCTGACATCCCCTGAGGGGTCCCATATTGTGAGAGGGCACAGGCCAGGCTCAGGGACCACACCGGTGCACAAATCCGTGCACCAGGCCTCTAGTTTTATGTAATAAAGCCCTAATATGCAAATCAACTGAACGGCAGTACGACCAGTTGCTATGACACGCACCGACTACCAGGAGGCAGATGACCAGTGGTGCTGATTGGGAGTCAGGGCCAGCCAGCTGGCAGTGCCAGGTTGCCAGCCAAGGCAGGTGCCAGTGGGGGCCCCTCCCGATCGCCCCGCTTATCGGTTGCCCCACAGATGGTCCTGATCACCAGCCAGGCCTAGAGGAACAGTCTCTTAGATTTAAAAATTAAAACCTGACAAGGCTACTCTAACACTGAAAAAACAGGATGATGCAGAGATGACATGCATGAACTCTGGCTTGCACATTTTGTCAGCCCTGATTCTGACACTTATAACTGTGTGACAAAGCCAATTACTTCTCTCTGCTTCAGTTTTTCCACCCATAAGAGGGGAAAATGGTACTACTGCCTCAGAAGGATCATGTATAAAAAGTATGTACTACTTTTTATAATCAGGGCAAAAAAAATGTAGCTGCCCACACAATAGCAAGATGCCTTTCACCTGTATGAATATAAAGTATGGTCACTGGTGCATGCGAGAGGTATGGACATGAGGGGTCCTGGATTGCAAGAGGATGCAGGCTGGGCTGAGGGATACGGCCCCCCCCACCCCCCCAATTTTATGCACCGGGTCTCTAGTTTGAATATTAACAACTAAGGAAACAAATTTCATAAAGTAAAATTAGCCACAAGATGGCAGCAAACATTTAGCTATGTCCTGATTTATACTGTCTTAAAGAGAATGTTTTTCAAGTTGTCACATTTTGTTACTAAGAAATATGTCTGTAAATTCACATATTGACTTCAGTTGAGATCTTTCTCACATTTAAAATACTGCAGAGAGTAAAGTTTTAAAAAGTCCTGAGTCAGTGTCGTATCATTTGAGAACATTTGCCATGCTAAAGAGAAAGTATTTTTAAATATTTGTTTGTGTGTGTGCGTATATTTATATGTGTGTGTGTATATATATATATATGCAAAAGATCTAAGAGATGAAAATATCTGATTCTTTTAATCAGTAGTTTCTATCCTATTTATTATGTATCTATTGGTGCCCTAAATAATTGGAGCTTAAATAATTGAGTAAAATAAGTATAACTATTTTATTCTAGACTAATTTCATTTGTTAATGACTTAAATAAAATTTTCAAGGAAACTTATATAATACTTTGAACAGTAAAGAATTTAAATTAAAAAAAGAATTAAAATTTTCAGCCTGAAAGAACATTTAATCTAATATCATTATTTTACATGTATAAACTAAGGCTAAGAGCATAAAGTTAACATTAGATTCCAGGTATCCTTATTCTTGGTTAAAACTCTCCATAATTTTTCTTCTCATGGATGTGATGTCCCATATTCTGTTATTCCAAATTTAAAGGTTAAGTTTTAATTTGTTGAAAATTTTTTTCTCAGAATACTTAGGTATGTGTTTTCAGTCTCTTGCCAACATGTAACCTTTAATTTCGTTGTCTACACTATACTCTTAAGGCTTATATATCACCTGAAGTCAGATGGTGGCTTTGCTGAAGCCATTACAGATTTCTAACCTCTAATGTCAAAAGTATATTTTTATTAACAAATGAATTTAAGCAATGTTATACTCCTTCTCCCTCAATTTGAATAGTTTTGAAGTAACTTGATAATTAAATGTCTTATGCTAACACTTAGTACTTTTATCACTAATTATAGTAGCAGTATTCATTCAATATTCAATAATATTCAATATTGTAGAACTAGAATTTCTAACTACATGAGAAATAGATTGAAGATATAACATATACAAGAAGAGTTTGTGCTTCTGAGCCAATAATATTTATACTGGAGTTAATATAATTTCTATTTAAAATTATTATTATTATGCTGGTTATTAGCCATACATAGTAAGTTGTTAATATAAATGCCTATTATTGGTATCATTTTAAATTGACCAAATCAGATTCTCTAAGCTATAAACATGATTACAAAGTTTGAGGAAATCCCTGTGGCACACACTAAAGGATGGGACACAATGATTCTAGATAATATAAGTGAGTGAGTTTAGCTGTTTTTGTTGTTTTTTTATGGGTAAATCTTTGATGTGTGGATGTTAATTTTGTAACCCATTATTTTTATTAAATTAATTCTCTTATTATTTCCAAATGCTTTTTGACAATTTGATTGGATTTTTCAGCTCTTAGTTTTAAAAAAATGTCACAAGTTGACCACTTCAGAGTGATGATTGATACATTACCTTGTAGTTTTAAAATGAGACATAATGGAAGAAAATTGTCAAAATTATCTGTGTCAAAACATTTTCTGAATTTGTGTCTATGTCTAGGACCATATAAACCTAATATGAGATAGATTTTCAATATATTATTCATTGGATGAAATTCAAATTGAAATGAAATTAAACTTAAAAATTTGAATGAAATGAAAACAAAATTAAGTTCATAAAACTAAAGTCAAAGCTTTGCTTAGTTTATGGTGCCATATGTACAGCATTTTAGGAAATGTGATCCCGTCTCCTGTGAGATGTAGGAAATCTTAATAATGCAAAACCTCAAAGGAGTATGTGAGTGGGGATGTTGAGAGACTCAGAGTTAGCCAGAGCTTAAATCATAGTCCTGACTGCTTTGTTTCTCATGGATTGGCAAAAGGTGTTAACTATTAAGAATTATTTTTCACATGGTTGTCTATATAATTGACAACCAATTGAAAACTACTAGCACTTAGAGTTAAGTAGCCAAATAAATATAAATGCATGCATATTAATAGTTTTCATCTTTGCCAGCAGTAACCAACAAGAAAGTAGGAAATAAAGAAGATCCCTGTCCCCTTTCCGGCAAGATTTACTATACATTTTAGTATAAATGTAGGAATAGCCTTATAAGGAACAAATGAGGTATTTTAAAGAAAACTATGATTCCAATTTTGTCACAATAAAGTATTTTATGCATGTAGGAAAATATCTGTAAGGAATATACCAAAATATAAATAGTAAATGGTTAGTAGAGTTTATAGGTAATTTTATTTAAAAATTCTCCCACAAGCATTTTATAATGATGTGGTTTAAAAAAAACTCAGAAAAAAATTATAATATTGTTTTTAAAAGTTACTGATAATTATAAGTACTCAGTTAACCTTAGTGCGATTAGATAAGCAACTGAGTCATTTAGCAAGTAGATCAAGTAGAAAAGAGAGGGTCTTTTTTCTGATAGAGAAGGCAGGGTGGATTTGGTTTTTCTAATTAAATTAATTTTTGTGATACTGATTTTGTAGCAGGCATTATTCTTAAGTATATAAATTATGCTAAATTTCTAACTTACCAGTTTTAGGGTTGTTAGTAAGATTTTATATATATATATATTTTAGAGGCCCGGTGCATAAAATTTGTGCACTTGTGGGGGTGGGGAGGTCCCTCAGCCTGGCCTGCGCCCTCTCACATTCTGAGAGCCCTCGAGGGATGTCCATGGAGAGTGGGCCTAAGCCATCAGTCGGACATCCTTAACCCTGCTAAGGAGGTGGGAGAGGCCACTGCCACCGCCGCTGTGCTCTCCAGCCATGAGCCCGGCTTCTGGCTGAGCAGCGCTCCCCCTGTGGGAGTGTACTGACCACTAGGGGGCAGCTCCTGCATTGAGTGTCTGTCCCCTCATGGTCAGTGTGTGTCATAGTGACAGGTCATTCCGCTGTTTGGTCAATTTTCATATTAGCCTTTTATTATATAGGATTTCCAGTTGCTTTGGTCTCCATTGTCCTTGCAATGGATTTTTTATTTACTGAGTGCTTATTTTCCACTATCCTTAAATTAATACATTTTATAATAGAAATTATGTCAAGCATGTCAAAAATCTTGAGTAGCTTCTTTTATATAGTATACTCCCATATGAAGATAAGTACTTAAAGGTTTGATTTTTTAAAAACAGTTGTGTATTTTTAAAATTTTATTTTAAAATAATAAAAATGTTTATTTTTTGAACAGGAAAATCTTATTTACACTGCTGATCCAGAAACCTTTGAAGTAAATACAAAAGATATGGACAGTACATTGAGTAGGGCATCTAGAGCAATAAAAAAGACTTCAAAAAGGGTGAGTCCCCTGGCATTATTATTTAACATATCTCCAAAAAGTATTTTTTAGACTACGTTAAAATAATATTGCCAGAAACACCAGTGTAAAGATAGTCTATAAAACAAAGTTGGTTTGAGGGCTTAGGAAATGGCCCACAGAGATAATAGTTTTAGTTTAGTGAATTCTTTGGTACAGTAATTATAACCTGTTACCTTCATATTCTTTTTATAGTGATATTTCTATGAACTCTACTTCAGTAGAAATGTTCTGATGGTGTTGTAGATGTAGATTTGTGTGCGTTCATCTTGAATATCACCTCAGATATTGTTCAGCAAAGGGCACACAACAGAGATCCTGACCACAATATGTTTCAATCTTGTAACACTGGATATAACTTCCCTACTTACCTTATCGGAGATAACTTCCCTGCTTACCTTATTGAGGATTACATAAGAATATTGGGCCTTTTAGAAGTAGAAAAACAAGTGTATTAATAGTCTAGATGAAATTTGCAGCCATAGTCTACTGCTAGATTTACAAGTTTTTGCTTTTGAAGGGAAGGTTTGTACTTTATTTAATCATCTTTATACCTCCCAAGATCAGCATGTTTGATATATGATAAATATATTGAATGGCATTGACTCCTTCACTTTTTCAAAAAGGAAATTGAGGTTCAAATGGCTTTGGGTTAAAGATCTCACAACTAAATTTTAGTGAAATCAGACACAAAAAAAAGCCATGTTTCTTCTCTCCCATGCCAGGTTTATCCTTGCACTTTTTTCCTTCCATTTGACTGTTGTGCTCTAAGAATGCGAGTATACAGCAGGTCTTTAAATAATGTTCAGCGTTGTTTCATTATAATGTTGATGAGAATGCTGTAGGAAATTAACTCTTGTTTATATCAATTAGCCTGTGATAAAATTGGTTTTATTATATGTCATTTCCCTTGAAGTCACAGAACATATCGAGGACGACAATGTTGAGTGAGGACTATTACTGTACTACATTTTCTCAGTGTTTTGTCCAAAGAGATTCTAAATCTATGATAATACTATTTGCACAAAAACTTTTCATGTGTATTTGGCTTTGTTTAGGTATATTTGTTCTGATCAGTTATATTAAACTTTTTTTAGGCTTAATTGTAACTTCTTAAAATTCTAGGTTACAAGAGCATTCTCTTTCTCCAAAACTCCAAGAAGAGTTCTACGAAGGGCTCTTATGACATCCCAAAGTTCAGTGGAGGGAAGAAGTCCTCTCAGCAGTGACAAGCATGTAATGAGTCGTATGTCTAGCACATCATCATTAGCAGTAAGTGACTTTGATTTGATGGTCTAATGACTTATTCACACTTATGGAAGTTGGTATGGAATTTGCTAATGTTAAAGATGGAAATCTAATGTCTCCATTTTTTTTATACTTCTTAACTTCTAACATCTTTTGTTAGGTAAAGATAACTGAGAAAACATCACTTTAATGAACTAGAAATAGAGACATACTTAATATGTAGTTTATTTGATATGAAATTTTATTCAGATTGAGATATGCTCTAAAGTGTCTAAAGAAAAAAGCATGTTTCAATCTGGCCTCTCACTTTACTAACCTAATTAGCAATGGTTCGGTTTATACAAATTGGTCCCAGCAATATAACAGTTTTTTTCCGTTTACTGTTTCTGTGATGAGTAGAATATTATTTCTGAAACTGTAGACTTCAAAGGATGATATGTATTCTGAATTCATATGTATATTTTTAAATGTGTTCTGAAAAATACAAATTCCCAATGGTGTCTGAAGTATTAGACAATAAATATTAAGGACATTTCAAACATTTATTACTGCCACTAAATATATGAGTGATGTATGATTATGAAATTACTAGAGGCCCGGTGCACAAAAATTTGTGCACTCGGTGGTGGGGGCTGAGGGTCCCTCAGCCTGGCCTGTGCCCTCTCATAGTCTGGGACCCCTCGGGAGATGCCCACCTGACAGTCAGACATACCTCTGG